CAACAACAACAACAAAAAAAAAAGCCCTGGCCCAGATGGTTTCACTGGCAAATTCTACCCAACGTTCAGAGAAGACCTGACACCAATCCTACTCAAACTATTCCAGAACATAAAAAGGGATGGAATCCTCCTAAATTCAATTTATGAACAAACATAACCTTGATACAAAAACCAGCCAAAGACATCACTAAAAAGAAAACTACAGACTAATACTCCATATCAATATAGATGTAAAAATGTTCAACAAAATACTAGCCAATAGACTCCAACAACATATCAAAAAAATAATACATGATGACCAAGTGGGGTTCACATCTGGTATGCAAGGATGGTTCAACATTAGAAAAACAATCAACCTCATGTATCACATAAAAAAAAGGAAAGAACTGCGTGATCATATCAATTGATGCAGAAAAGGCATTTGATAAAATCCAACATCCATTCCTGATCAAAACTCTCAGCAAAATAGAAATAGAAGGGACATTCCTCAACATAATAAAGGGAATATATGTAAACCCAACAGACAACATTATTCTCAATGGAGACTGAAACCATTCCTGCTGCAAACAGGAACCAGACAAGGATGCCCTCTATTACCACTCTCATTCAACATTGTATTGGAAGTTCTAGCCAGGGTAATAAGGTAAGAAAGGGAAATCAATGGCATCCAAATTGGTAAGGAAGAAGTCAAACTATCCCTATGTGCTGTTGATATGATCCTATACATAGAAAACCTAAGAGACTCAGTGAAAAATTACTGGAACTAATTGAGAGATCAACATAAAAAATCAGTTGGCTTCCTCTACACCAAAAAAGAGATTACTAAAAAGAAAATAAGGAAATCAATGCCATTTACAATAGCTATCAAAAAAATAAAATACTTAGGAATAAATATAATTTGGAACAAAAAAGACCTGTAGAAAGAAAACTAAAAACCACTACTCCAAGAAACCATAAGAGATCTATATATATGGAAAAACATACTATGCTCCTGAATAGGAAGATTGAACAATGTGAGAATGTCAATACTACAAAAAGCAATCTATACATTCAATGAAATCTCAATCCAGATCCCATCAGCATTCTTTATGGATATGGAAAAATCAATCATTAATTTTATATGGAAAGGAAAGAGACCTTGGATAAGCAAAGCACTATTGAAAAAAGTCAGCTGCAGGGATCCAGGTGAGGAGAAGGAACCCAGGCATCCCCAAAGTAGCAGGACAGGAGAGCGGGAACAAGGGAATTAAAAGGCCCAGGAACGGGTACAGAGGAGCAGTCAACCTTACGGATCCAGATGAGGAGAGGGAACCCAGGCATGCCCAAAGCAGCAGGGCAGGAGAGCAGGATAAAGGGGAGGAAAAGGCCCAGGAACTGGGACAGAGGAACAGTCAGCAGCAGGGACGCAGTTAAGGGTGGTAGGAGAGGTTTCCAACAGGGAGACAAAGTTGTCTTTCGGTTTGTCGTACCGTGGTGACATGTTGATGTGAGTTTTGAGGCTGAGCCACTGGTGTTTCAAACCCAGCAGGGTGCACATGGTGCACAGATATCAGCCCAGCTTACAGACTAAGACAGACTAGGAAGAAGGAGGAGACCGTCCACTTCTCAAAGAATTGGCCAGGGAAAACCTTATGAATAGCAAAGAAACACTGTCTGATACATTACCATGCAACTTTATGAATAGTCCAGTTAGGTTAGAAGGCTCTCAAAACAAGACAGGGAAAGAGCTGCATCATCAGAGTAAACCCAGCCTTACTCATATGGATAAAGTAAAGCTTTCAAGACCTCCATTTGCTGGTGTGACACCATTCAAATTGAGGAGAAACAGCTGCAGACATCCATTAATCATAGGAACATGGAATGTACAAAGTACAAATCTAGGAAAATAGGAAGTTGTCAAAAAGGAAATGGAACGCATAAAGATTGATATCCTCGGCATTAGTGAGCTGAAATGGACTGGTTTTGGCCATTTTGAATCAGACAACCATAAGATCTACTGTGCCGGGAATGATAGTTTGAAGAGGAGTGGCATGGCATTGATCATCACAAAGGATGTTTCAAGATCTGTCCTGAAGTACAATGCTGTCAGTGATAGGATAATATCCATACGCCTACAAGGAAGACCCATTAATATGACTATTTATGCCCCAACCACCTAAGCCAAAAATGAGGAAA